AGAGATAATTTTTGAAAAGTTAGTCACCCCAGACTTTTTTCCTCCCATGGCTAGAAAGCTGCTAATTTCTAGGTGTGACCGCCATACTTTCTTCTATTTTATTGCCTGGTGTCCTGACGTCTTTGATCCATGGCCTGAGCACATTCTTTCATGGGAAGTTTCAGGATGAATAATCTGCCATCTTCCATCAGATCTTGACAAACTTACAAGAGGTTCTGAGCCATGGCTTCTGTTTGGAATCAATTTGAAGTGTTCAACATTGTGGGCAAAGAAGGTTTTGATTGTGAAGAGGAAAGAGGATTTTGTACTACTAAGGCATATTCTTTCTGAGTCACATATTCCCTTACATTCCTTGGAAAGTGTTGGGCTATGGGCATAAAAATACTGATTTTGGAGTCAGAGGAAATGAATCAGTGCTAACCAAGTCTTTCTAGCTTTGTGACCTAGGTGAGTCAAAAGAAATCTCACTTCAGCTAGATGTCACATGTTTGTAATCAATCCTAGTGTTCTGAGAAGCTGAGGCAGAAGGATTGTAAGTTTAAGCCCAGCCTGGGCAACTTGGTAATTAATGACACCTTGTGAAAATAGAATAGAATAGAATAGAATAGAAGTAAAATATTAAAAGGCTTGGGAATATAGCTCAATGCACAGAACATAGATTCAATCCTCTACACCTCAAAAGAAATCAGAAGAGCAAGCAAACAAGAAAGAATAAATCTAATTTTGATTAGAGACAAACAAAATTCACAGCCTTAAATCACTCATCGTCTGTCTGGCTTGAGAGACAGATATGTAAAGAGAATAACCATTTTCAGTGTGATGAATGAGGAACAGCAGCCAGACCAGATGAAACAGCCCATGAGTAGGTTATGGGTGTGGTAACATTACTTTCCAAAAAGCAGACAGTAATTCCTTTCCAAAGAATTATTCTAAGGCTCAATGATATAAAGCATTTGTAAATATGTAATAAAGTACAAAGTATTCTAAAAAAGGAAGATATAAGCAGTAATTCTCACCTGCTTTCTGCTTGCATTCTATTTACATACAAGATATCCTAATGAATACTATCACTCAATGTTACCAGGGACTCTTGGGGTGTAAGACGTGTTCTGCCAATCTCCAGCTCTGGGACATGTAGGGCTGACTGGAAAGTATTCTTTGGAGTCTGATAATTTTTCCCCCAGAATTAATGTTTTCTTATTTTTAGCAGAAAAATTAAGATAAATGACATTAGCAAATACCTTTTCTTTGTTAAAAATCAAATCATTACAAATAAGCTAACACCTCCTGTTGACTCCCTGCACCAAATACTGTGATCCATCTCCCAACTCAACCATAAAGAGGGATAAACTTGAGACATTTCTAGGTGAGTGGATGCACCTTGAGACCATAGGTGTGAGAATAAGGTGAAATAAATTGAACACACGTGTGTAAATACTGCATCGTTTCTCTGGTGTGAGAAACTGAAAGTATAAACAAGGACCAGAATGTGTACTAGGTATTATGAAATAAGAAGAAAATGCTCAGTTAGGAAGTGGACTTAGGGAGGGCGAAGGAGGAAAGAAAGGAAGAAAAAGATAAAAGTGACAAAAGAATAAAAAAATGTATACAAAGCCTGTCACATTCAAATCAGTGACAGGAAACCATGCTCAGCACCATTGTGGTCTATAGATCACTCCCTGCCTGCTTACACCACAGTCACACTTTCCTCTTCATGTTCGGTTTCTTTAGCTCCAGCTCCTTTAGACAAACACATCTGAATATCTGATTTTCTTTCGTTTTTTTTTTATTTTAACCTCTTTAGCTAGGTCTATATTCTGCTCTTTGAAATTCCTTAAAGAAAGCCTAAAATCATGTCTTATCCCTCAGTCTGTCATCTTCTTACTCACTCTATTTTCATTACTGCCCATGCAAGTCCTATTCATCCTAGTGGTGCCTGGTGGTCCATGTCTGTAATCCCAGTACACCAGGAGACTGAGGCAGGAGCACTGCAAGCTTGAGCCCAACCTGGGCAGTTTAGCAACTTAGTGAGATTCTGCCTCAAATTTTACAAAAATTTCAAATGGACTGGTGATGTAGCTCAGTGTAAAGGCCTTGGGTTCAATCCCCAATACAACACACACACACACACACACACACACACACACACACACACCCATCCATACACAATTTTAATCATCCTTCAGAACTTCAGATACTGATTTCATTGTGAGGGCTTCCCTAATCACTCCAGTTTAATGGAATTTCCTCTTTTATAATTTTATTATACATTGCAATAGAAAATCTAGTGTTTGGTTGATTATTAGTGTTACCTAGAGGATATTTAAAAAACTTTTTATGGTAGAACAGTTTTGGATTTACAGAATCATGAAAGTTTTATATACCATTCCTGTACACCCCACATTCAAGTTTCCTTGTTGTTAGCATATTATATTAGAGTACAATTATCAACATGAATGAATCAGTGTTGGTTTATTATTCTTTACTAATGTCTATAACTGTTATAGCTTGTGTCTAGATGTCCCCCTAAAGCCTCACGTGGTCAAAGGTGGGGTTTTTCAGAGCTGGCTGAATCTAGAGTGTGTGATGCTGGGATTAAGATCGTGTGATTACTAAATCAACCCACTGGTTGGTTTGGCACTGCCTTGATCCTGGTAGTCTGGATACAATAAGAGGAACAGAAAGGCGTGCCTTGTCCTTTCCTTACTTGCTTTTGCTGTCTTCTGCTTGCTGTGAACTGGTTCTCTTATGTGGTCCCCCTCTGTCAAGCCACCTTGCCCTGGAGCCTGCTGATTATGGGCTGATAGCTCTACAAACTGTAAGTAAATCTTTTTTCCTTTAACTTCGGGTGTCAGGTATTTTGTCTCAACAATAAAAGAAAAGTAACCAGGACAATAACTTGCTCCGATTTCTTCAGTTTTTCCTAATGTCCTTTTTCTGTCCCAGGAAGCCATCCAGGATATCACATATCACATCTGTAATCTCCTTTAGCTGTGATCGTTTCTCAGACTTTCTTGTTTTTGATGATCTTGACAGTTTTGAGGATTACTCATATGAGAATTTGTGGAACGTCTCTATTTGGAATATATCTGATGTTTTTCCCTTAACCAAACTGGGGTAGTGGTTTCTTTGGGAGAAACAACACTGAAGGAAAGTGTCATCTTTATCATATTGTATCAAGGACACATACTATTTAATGTGACTTATCAGTGCTGGTGTTAACCATGATGACCCAGCTCTAAGTAATGTTTGTCGGATTTCTCTACTGAAAAGTTACTATTTTTTCTCCATTACCATGCTGCACTCTTTGGAAGGTTACTATGTATGTCTGCATACTGAAGGGTTCAGAGTGAAGAAGGTAGCTAGGCTCCATTTCCTTACGAGGAGATTAGTAATATAAATTATTTGGAATTCTTTTGCATGGGAAATGGTCTGTTTTCTCCCATTTGTTTACTCAGTCATTTATTTACATCAGCATGGACTCATGGATATTTATTTAGTGCTTTGGGTTATAATCTAGTACTCCTTTATTTATTTTGTTGCTCAAATTGTTCCAGCTTTGGCTATTAGGAGATCTTTCATTTAACTTCTGTATTCCTTTGACATGCTTCTATCATTTTTTGAGTGTTTGCTTTTTCGTTGCTGGTACCAAAGCTACACCAGTTTCACCATATGCATTTCTTGTTGATCCTAATATCAACATCAATATCAATATCAATCCTAATATCAATATCAATATCATTTTGCTCAAGGAGCCTGGTTCTTTTTATTTAGAACATAGTATTAGAAACCAAGAACTGTGTGCTAGGTGTGCTTATTGTTACTGGTTGCTCATTGCTAGGATGTCGTTGCTTCTAGGCCCTCTGAGTAGATAGAGCAAGGAGTATACTGCCATGTATGTACAAATAACTATACATATTTTCATATTCATACCACTGTACCTTTGTTAAAAATATTGATATCTCCATATCTAATCTATTATCACATTATCATTTTGGGAAACTAAAAAAATATATGAGATGTGATTCAAAAATACAGCATGAGTATAGAACTTAAACATTATTAATGTAAAAAACACATTGCCATTAATCCCTTTCAAACACTTATCCTATCATCCTTGCCACTTTTGAAGCAGTCTTGGAGTCTTGCTGTTGTGGGTGCCTGGATGTCTTGAACTGACATTAAAATATTTACTTTGCGTGGTCATTTTGACTTTGAAAAAGACCCAGAAGTTCTAAGATGCCATATCCAATGAATAAGGCAAATGAAGACACACCATAATATTTTTATGAGCCTGTCTTTTTGTTGGGTGGCATTTGCCAGCAACATGCACTGTATTTTTTACCCTTTGAATGTTTTCACTGAATTTGTGATCAGATCTCAAAAAGACACTTATGAAAGAGGATTTCCAGAACTGCTTCAGAGAACAATGGGATAAGTGTCTTTGAGGAGAGGGGAGTATTTTGAGAGGGAATATGACAATGTGTTTTGCAATATATTTTTTAAAAAATTTAAACATTCACCATATATTTTGATCATATCTTTTATAATCCCAGCTACTTCTCCAGAGCTAATGAATCAAGAAAAATACTAAAATTTTATATTTTGAATGGCTAACCCACTAAACTTATTGACTATTTTTCCTGGCTTAATATTAGATTCAATATTGAAATTATGATGGCATCAGTTGACATCATACACATAAATTTTACTTCACCATTATTTACCATTTGGGTAAGTATTTGTCTAAGGGAAATGAATTGTCATCTGACTATAGTTCTGCTGATTTTTGTTCCATGAGTGTACTATCTAATGCAGTTTGAAAATTTTTATATTTGGTGATTACTGGATGTCCTACTCAAGCCTCCCAAATCTGTAATTTGGTGCTCTAAATACAGAGCACAAAATTAACTATGAGAATTGCATTGTCCTGTTGGTGTCTACCTCTCTCATTTCTTCTCCTTCTCTTTCTGTTTCCTTGCATTATTGGTGGACTGCAGGCTCCAGCTCCAATTCCACCATCTGAGATGACGCTATTCCCCAGGACGCCCGTGGTGCTGCTCCTGCTGCTGCCTATCTTGAGTTCTGCCAAAGCTCAGGTCAATCCAGGTAACACTGGAAACCAGTTGAATTTCAAGCCCATCCATGTTCACATTGGGAAAAGCAATGCAAAAGTCTGGTTTTGTTTATTTGTTTTTTTTTTTTTTTTTTAAATCTCTGTGATGAAACATGGCCAAACCAGAAACAGAAAATAATGCACTTTCTCTCTCCTTTCTCTCCATATATGGCATGTTGAATATTGTGGGTTTCTGATATAAAGTAGGATGTAGTAAGAGCATTTTTTAAAAAATCGGAAGTGAAGAGGCGACCTTTTTGTTCTTCATCCTCTGGGTCAAACAGGAGGGAATTTTTAGGTGTCTTAGAGAACTCCCTCAAGTTGGTTTTTCACTTGTTTCTGGCTGTCTTAAATCTAGATTTTACTTTATTTTGATGTCCGGCTTTGCTTTTGCTACACTGTCTAGGGCATGGCAGAGAGGTACTCTTTCTTACAGATATGAAAGAAGAATCTTTCAAGCCACAATTTGTGCTTTTGTTTCTTTGTATTAGGTGTAGTTTTGAACTTTACCCTGAAGTATACAGTTGTATCATTTGTCTCCTACACAGTAAGGGAGCTTAACAACCTAAGGCTTTGTGTCCTAAAACAAGCATTTATTTTGCTCCTGAGCTCACACTTTGATGGCTTATGCAGAGTTCGGTTGGACTATTTTCTCCTGGTCTTAGTTCACTTGTATATCTGGGAGCAACTGGCTCCAATAGGTTGGTCTTGGCTCTCATGACTGAGCAACTTGACTGCTCTCTGCTTCATCCTTTAGAAGACTAGTCTGGGTATGTTTTCTTGGAAATGACACAGGAACAGAAGCAGAGGCAGGAATGTGCGAGCATTTTTCAAACCACTGCTCATATTATGTTCATTAAAATCTCACTGGCTAAAATAAGTCACATGGCCATGCTGAGAGTCAGACTTGGATGGTCCAAAAAATTTTCACGATAAAGGACTGTATAGGGGGATGGATAAAGATTAAAGTCTTTTTTTTCCCAATCCTCCACAAATATAAATATAAAAGTATACACAGCGTAAGTGTTCCATTTAATGAATTCCATGGAGTGAGAACTTCCATATAAACAGTACTCAGATCAGGAACCAGAAGTTTATCAGCACTTCAAAGCCCTCTTTATGCTCCCTTTTAATTGCTTCACTCTCACACCAAAGGTAACCATTATCTGGCCTTATAGATCAGTTTTGTGTTTTATATAAAAGGATTCATATAATGCATAAATGCTCTGTGTCTGGCTTTCTTTGCTCAATATTTTGCTTATGATATTCATTCTATTGTTGCCTGCAGTTGTTCATCTTCACCACTGTAAGATGTTACCCTGAACACGTTGTATAGCCAGCCTACTGTGGATGAGACTTCAGATAATTTCTCATTTAGCTGCATGAAAAATAAAGTTCCTATATTGTAAAAACGCTTGCATAGAACTTTTAGTGGAGATATATACTCGGTTCTTTTAGGTTTGTATCTAGAAATGGAATTTCTGGGTTTCTGGTTATCATATGATCTACTCTTCTGCATCTTGCCAAAGGGGTTTCCAAAGTGATTTTTACCAAATTACCATGCCACGGTTGTATACAGAGTTCAGTTGTTCCATTTAATTGTATTTAGATTCTTGAGGGCAGTTTCATTTTGTCCTTTTCATAGCATTGGTGTATGTTTTCAAAAATATTTATGCTTTGCCCTCTTACAAAGATTCCATGTCTATGGGCTATTCTTTATAGCCTCAGCAGGAAACATGATCAAAAGTCCTTAAAATGAAAGAATTATTGGCTGAACAAATCCAATGCCTTGTTGTTTTTCTTGCAATGAGTTTAGCTGATGTATCTGAGGTCTGACATTGGACACCATTCTTTCACTTTTCTGTCTCATGTTTCTCTCACCCAGGAGTTGAGGTCCAGTTGTTTTCTACTACATTCTCCTTGCTCAGATCCAAGATGCTGAAAGTGCCCAGAATGGGAGGATGTTTCGGTGCTGGGCTTTCTCAAGGAGCCTGGTTTGCCATGGAGATATTAAATGATTACACCAAGAGGGTTGAACTTCTGTGATAGAAAACACAACATAGCACTGTAGCAGAATGTGATGTTTAAAAGCAGCAAATAATCATATTAATTTTTTCTCTTATTTATGGTGCATTTGTGTAGACACTCAGAGCCTATATTGCAGATCTTTGTGACATTTTTCTTATTTATGTTTTTTTTTCTGCTGGGAGAAAAAGTAATAGAGATCATGATTTATAAGGATCTTTATAGGAACATGAAGTGGAAAAGGCAGAGATAAAAATTAGAAGCAGTTAAGATAGTTGCATTCATTATCAGAGTTAAAGGGTGTAGTCATGAAGCTTGGGTCTTATGGAATGATACAACTTGCATGCCGTTCAATATCCAGAGTGGATGGAGAACCAGTGCGTGCTGTTTGAAGGATACTTTGGAAGTTCTTACTGGTGTCTGCTGACACACCGAAGGTGACTGACAGCCCCAAAAGGCAACTGAAAATGTTTAGAGACTAAATGCGTTCTTGGCCACATATTCCCACAGGGTGGTCACATGGAACTTGAGTCAGACCTGGGTTATAAGCAAGTCTAATGTATAGCCAACTGTTCAAATATTGGAAAATATTTGATTGATTATTGAATATAAAATATTAGTGGGAAAACAGTAGTCATACTGAGCATTCAATTCAATTAATGATATAAAATAAATCTCATTATGGGGCTGGAAATTTAGCACAGTGGCTCAAGTGCTTGCCTGGTGAGCGCAAGATCATGGGTTCAGTCCCTGGTACTCAAAACAAAACTCAAACAAGTGAAATAAACCCCATTAGTTTAAGCTCATGGTTGAAGTTTTCACAATGACTATGGTCAGTGTCATTGAGTTTTCAGTATTGGCATGCTTTCTGTGGTAGTAGTGATATTGAATATGGCAAAATAGCAACATAAAAATCACTGAATACCAAGACAGGATGAATAATATTGTTGACATTTAGAGGTCTTCTTTCCTACTTGAAGCTGAGTTTCCTGCAGAGATCAGGCCATAGAGGCTGCAGAGCAGCAGAGGTGTGAGACAGAACACGGCTGAGGCCTGAAGCCAGTGGAGCTGCTGGCTCACTCCTCTAGAGCATCTGAGCTCTGACAGCAGTTGGTGAGGCAAGTGGCATTAGTGGCATGTCTGGCAAATGGCCATGGGGAGTTGTTGAAGGTGGCATTGTCACTGAGATCTGCATTATAGGCTCTGAGTGTCTACACAGAAAATGCTGAGATGCGGGTGTGTTTAGAGTCCTGAAGGTTGTCAGTGTGCTTGGTGTCTTCCACTTTTGACAGAGCTCCAGGATTTGGAAACTGAGACATTATTTAAACAACCTGAGGCAGTTTACTATGTTAAAATCATAACTCAGGAGTATCATTTAGCTAATGATAGCCATATCAGATGATTATACCAACAATTTAGAAAAATAATTTCTAGGTGAATGATTTGGCAATGATTAGAAGATTCTAATGAATGATTTGAAGTTTATTTATAAAAAGATTTTTAGTTTTGTTATTTTTAGTAACAACTCCAGGTATAATCCTAGTATGGACATAAATTAATTGTGACATTGAGCACATTGTTACATATTGTACTTTATCTTTGTACCTTTCCTAAGATGAAGTTGGGTTACGTGATTGGTAAGACTCTTTCTGTTACAACATTGAATATGACTTATGATATGGGAAGTAACCTAGAAGACTGATGGGCTCCAGCCTAGCCCCTGAGCTGACACGGTTACTCTGTATTAGAAACACCATTTGTCCTCAACTTTCAGGCATCTCTCAGATTCAGAACCTGGAGTATGAACTTCTAGAGAATTTTGCCTTTGGGACTGACCTTCGGAGACGACTAATAAATATTTTTATGCTTAAATCCTAAAATGTATATATGTGGACAGGCTGTGTACAGAAGGCTTGCCCAGCATAACCTGTAGGGATCCACATTACTGTGCTAGAAGCCACCTGATCCTGGGCCTCCTTCCCTCTAGAGATGGAATCACGAAAAAGTCTTGCAGACAGATGAAATAGCATAGCTGTGAGGAGGGACAGGTACATGTGGCGCTACTGATAGTGGGCAATGAATGAAAGACCCAGAAGCGCTGCTCTCCTGTCTCGCTGCAGGATGCTCAGATGAACTGCCCCCATAGCCAGCTTGAGCTGGGAATTCTGGGATTGATAGATAAGGATAGCTACCTCTGTGGGAAAGGAAGCCTTTAGACTCTGCACTCAGGTATAAGAATATACTGGCATATTAACAGTTGTCTAGTTACCAAAGTCAACTTCTTCCACGGGGTATAAAGTCACTGTATCAACGGCTAATGGGGGTCCTGTGCCCTATGCTCTTCCAGGTAAGGGAATGAGTGGAAGTAACCTGGTTATCCTTCAGGCCCAGGGGTCCAAAGTCTGGGGGATCCAGACAGCCAACTAGAGAGCTGTGGAATGGAAAGGATACAAGGACAGTTTGCTTTACTCTCCTGTGTTGGCCTGGGGCAACTGCTTGTTTTGGAGAGCGGGAAGCACACCTTCTGCCCAACAGCGAAGCTAAGTCAGGGCCAGGGCAGGGCAGCGCCAGGATTCCCGTTTTAATACCTCACTTTTTCCCTCACAGGAAGCAGCGACTGCTGCCAGTACCGGACACTAGGGTGGGAGTCCTCCTTTGGTGTGCAGAATATTTCCACTTTGAATGGAGTGGCAAAGACATTTAGGAGGAGCAAGAGGAGCTGTTCTTTTCTTGGCCTCACTTTTGTTTTAGTTTTATCACTGTGGGTTTTGTTTTTCCAGCATCAATCCTGCATTCCAGAGAATTCTTAGAGTCAGGTCAACTAGAACCCTGGACTAGTAGAGGTGCAATAACCTTAGAGATCTCTAAGTCCATTATCCTCATTTTACAGATGGAAGAAATGGGAGTGAAGCAGATGAGTGACTTGCCCATGATCATACAATTAGCTAGCAATAAAAGTAGGGACAAT